ACTTCAAGAACACTCCAAAGAAACGACCAGAACCAACGAGAAACCACGAAAAACGACGAGAAACCACCGAAGAAGAGTCACACATTGACAAAATCAGTCAACCGTGGACGATCAGAAGAAACCCACACCTTAAAGGTTGAGTTATGACAAAAGAGAATCGAAGATTTAACCACTCCAAAGATACACCAACGAGAAACAACGAGAACTCACACTCCCCAAGAAGAATTTCCAAAATAAATTCACGACGCGCCGACACACACTGTGAGCTCGATATGTCGGGAGAACTAAGTCGAGCACATAATTCGTGTTTCGACAAAAGCTCTAACGCTAAAACACCGGCCAAAACTCTAGAGATGATCCTCCTATGAGAATCCAAAACCACACAACGATTTTTTTTTTTTTTTTAACCTAAAATAATAAGTCCAAAAGCTCACAACCTAAAACTATAGCAAACCTCAAACACCAAAATAATAGCCCAGTAAATATGGGCCCACTTAGAATAGCGGCCCAAAAACATAAAGCAAACCCTGAAAAGTACATGAAATCCAGTCTGCAGAAATATTCCAGCAAAGCAATCCATAAGCAGTCCATTAAAGTGTCCACCTGACCCATTCATTAAAAAAAATAACAAAGCCCAAAGCAGCAGGCCCAACCAACAAAACCAGAAGAATAGCAAATACAACCCAACGGTCCATTAACCCAAAAGTTCATATGAAATCCCGCAATCCACATCAATATTAAAGGCCACGGAAAACTCCTGCAAGAGCCCAATAACCCACTCTATCTCCCAAATGTTAGTGAAGAAAGCCCACAAGAAAATCAATCAACCAATTAACCATAAAATCAATTAATCAACCCAATTATCCATGACCCATTAACCCAAATCCAACCCACTACCTATTAACCCAGCCCATATCCACCATCTTCATCCTTCTCAGTTCTCCACATACTCCCGACTGCAAACCCTCAAAAGAGAACAGAAAATGCCGGGTCCTGTCGTTGAAGAAATGAAAGCCGAAGAAAAGTTTCAAGATGAGCAAGTAATAGCCCATGAGCAAGTGAAAGTTCGAAGCAGAGCAGAAGTGAGAAGAAGAGTCGCAAGGCTAAAAAATATAGCATATTTCATCTCAAAGCCTGATGTTTTCAAGAGCCCAAATTCTGATATACATGTTATTTTTGGAGAAGCTAAGATTGAGGATATGAGCTCTCAGCTTCAGACACAGGCTAGTCAACAATTCAAGATGCCCGATATGGGCTCTATAACAGCATGGCAAGATCCCCCAGCCTTGCTGATTTCTCAAAAAAATCCACTGCCGAAAAACAGAAAATCAAAAGTCCCATCATTGAAAAGCTGCTGGAAGCCTTGCCCTGTGAGACTTGAAATTGGGACTGAAATGGAGGCGGGACCAAAGAATTAGGGTTCTGGGGTTTTATTTTCGTGAGAGAGAGAACATGTTTAAGCAAATAATGGGGCCCTGATGATTTCAACAAACACAAAAGCAACCAACCCAGAAAAGAAAAAAAAATAAAAGAATTAACCAAAAAAAAAACTCAAAATTGGACGATTAAATTGACAGATCCAAGGAAAACCCTATCAAGACCGGACGGGAGGAGCAAAAGCTCCTCCCGCCGTGAGAAAACCTTATCAAGAAAACAAAAGAAAATTTTAAGGAATTGGCTCTCATACCATGTCAAGAAATATAAATTGTATTATATTGACTTGATATTATTACAATGTAGAAGACCCTATTTATAGAATTACAAATAACTGTAAAAGGAAATAAAAAAAAATAAAGATTAAACAATCAACTATTAAGGAAAGTAATCCTACACTAAAAAACAATATTATAATGAAAAATATTCCATATTA